GGAGTGCAGCCCCTTCCTCAGGTGCAGTGAGAGAGAAGAGCACACAAACACAGTTTATAGACAGAGACATCAAGGGCTGAAGATCAAAAGATCGTACAACTGGTGTGAGTGGAGTGTCAGATAATAAATCTCTGCAGGTGACCCAGAGTGTTAGACAGTGAGTAAAGTGTCAACAGCTGAATAACCAGCGAAGGGATGACCTATAATCTGATTAAATGAGGCAGAGAGATAATTACAAGAAAATAAAAATAAGGTGGTGCTGGAGACAAACTAAGTGACTGGAAAAACATGATCGGTATAAGAGTTGCATGCCGAGGGTCTAACCAAAGTAATAAGTAATCCAGAACTGTACGAACTAATTAAGGTAGAGAGATCATAATAATTTATCAAGGTGATGATGTCAAAACAGGACAGTAAGGAAGATTTTACAGATACAGAACTGTGCGGTTGGGTCACATGTAGCGCGACATAAACCAAGATCACAGTTGAGGCGATCTTCATGGGTACGGAACTTGGCTATCAGTCACCGCTCAGCGATCCTGAGTTGTTGTGTATCTTGAAGTCCGCCTTGGAGGACGCTTACCTGAAGATCCAAGTCTGAATGCCCTTGACTGCTGAAGTGTTCCTCGACTGGGAGGGAACATACCTGTTTGGCGATTGTTACTCAGTGTCCGTTCATTCGTTGTCATAACGACTGCATGATTTTGACAATGTACCATGCCTCGTGGCATCCTTGCCTGCAGCATATGAGATAGACAGTGTTGGCCGAGTCACATGAGTATCTGCCATGTACATGGTGGGTGGTGTTCCATGTACGTGTGATAGTAGTATCCATGTCAATGATCTGACATGTCTTGCAAAGGTTCCATGACCTTGCAAAAGTTCCGGGTGTCCTTCAAAACCTCTAGATGTCTGTCGCGTTCCTCCTCATCTGAGTAGGGCTTGTTTGTAGGGAATGGCCCCTTTAATATGTTTAGGGTGGAAGCGAGAGAAGGGCAGCTTCTGTGAGCTTGCGTTAGAGTGAGTTACTGAGGTCTCTGACCTTGATGGAGATGCATGTGTCCAAGAATGAGACTGAATCTGAAGATTAGGATGAAACTAGTTGATATTGCTATCTAGTTGTTTCAGTGATTCCTCATCATGAATCCAAAGGAAGAAAATGTTGCCAATGTACCTGGTGTATAGCATTGGTCAGAGGTTCTGCGCAGCAAAAAAGTCTTGGTCGAACTTGTGCATGAAAATGTTGGCATATTGGGGTGCAAATTTGGTTCGCCTGGCTGTACCGTCTGTCTGGATGAAGAACTGGTTGTCGCAGGTGAAGACAGTGTGGTCGAGGATGAAGCAGATGGGTTGTAGGATGGCGTCTGGAAATTGGCAGTTGGTGGTATTGAGGACTGAGGCTATTGCAGCGATGCCGCCTTCATTGGGTTTGCTGGTGTAGAGTGCCAAAATGTCCAATGTGACGAGGAACATTCCTGGTTCAACTGGTTTGTGGGTGCTGAGTTTCTGTAAGAAATGTGTAGTGTCTCGACAAGCTGGGGGTTCCTTATGCAATGGATTTTAGGATTGAAAGATTGAACATTGAACGTGAAAGTTTAATTGGTTTCAAATTGATACTGTTCTTGAGTTCCTTGGTTAACCACGGTTGGGTTAACCTTCTAGAATCCTTCTTCCTAACTGAGATATATCTTTGTTGTGAATCATGAACAATTTTTTAAAATGTTTGCCATGTTCCTCAACTGTCTTTGCTACTAAACTCATTTCCCAGTCCACTCCAACTAGTTCTGCCCTCATTACTTTGTAATTGCATTTTGGCACAGTTATCTTCCATCAACGTTTCCCACTCTCAAATTGACTGCTAAAATTCTACCATGTTATGTTTCCTAGGGAATCGTTTACTCTAGTGATTTATTAAACCTGCCACATTACACATTACCAGATCAAAATAGCCTGATCTATGGTTGGATCCACAACATATTGTTATAGGAAACTCAGTTCTTCCTTGTGGTTACCTCTGCCAGTTTCGTCTTCCCAATCTACGTGAAGATTGATGTCAGCCATGATTAATGTAATACATTTTTACATGCTGTCAATATCTGCTGAATAATTCTCTGCTCTGTTATATAACTACTTTTGGGGGGTCTGTAGACTACTCCCACCAGTGGCTCAGTGGTTAGCACTGCTACCTCAGTGTCAAGGACTCGGGTTCGATTCCACTGTCAGGTGAATGTCTGTATGGAGATTGCACATTCTCCCCATGTCTGTGCAAGTTTCCTTCGGGTGCTCTGGTTTTCTCCCATAGTCCAAAGATATGCAGGTTAAGTGTATTGTCCATGCTAAATTGCCCATAATGTCCAGGGATATGCAGGCTAGCTGTGGCATATGTGAGGTTATAGGGACTCGATGGTCTGTTTCCACACTGTAGGAACTCTGTGATCTTCCCCTTGTTATTTCCTTTCTCCATACTTTCATTCCATCTGTCTCTCTCTTCTCTCTTTTCTCTCTCCTCCTCCATCCTCACCAAAACTGGAAAAATAATGGTCAGTTTGCTCAACTTCTCTGTGGTCCCTGCTCACATCCACACAATTTGGACGAGCTTTCCACAGTTGCAGGGCCGAAGGCTCCAAGAATGCTATCCGCTGGGACCCCATACGTATCTCACCTGCACTCGCACCATCCTGCCTGTGATCACAGACCAATTGTCAATGACCTACTCTGAGTGGTTTGGCCACCTGTTGGAGCAAAGTGTCTAGATAATGTTCCCCTTCCCTGATGTGGCACATTCTATAGCTTCGGTTCCATCTCCTCAACTCTGATCCAAAATTTGTTGTGCCACAAACACTTATTACAGATTTTTTTGTTCTGGATTGTTTTGTTGTACAGCAGCTCCCATATGCTGCATCACCTGTCTTACCATCCTTATCTTACTTTATTTAATTTGTTAATCACATTACTATCCCTGCTCTTTGCACTTGAAAAATCACCTACTTATTGCACTTCCTCGTAATATTCTTTTTAACACCTTACACTTAACAAGGTATTTTTAAAAGAAAAGGAGTGAGAAAATGACTTGAGAGCTAAACAGTAAATCCTTACTAATCCTACTTACCAATCAGCTGCTTTTCCTGCACTCATTTCACATTGTGGTTCATGACATCAATCTACGACTCGTCTAAATGCAGGCAAGACTCTCAGAATATACTATTTTAAGCCTTGAGTATGGGATAAACCTAAATCACTTACCAAATTCTCACCAGTTAATCAGCTTTGTTTCCTGGAGGCTGAAAAAGTTTAGGCAAAAGCATCTAAACACCTCTTTGTCTTTCTCTGTTTAACTCCCTGAAACATTCAACTCTGGCACTCAAGTTTCACTCGGTTGGCATTGAGAGGTTCCAATCACAAAAGGCCCAGCTGAGTCAGTTAATGAGGATCCAATACAGCTGGTTCTTAATTAAGCTGCTGTTTCACTGGAACCCTTTGGGGGAAGAAAAAAATGGCTTAAAGTGAGCTTCTTTAGAACTTCAAATGTGTATTTCAGATCAATGTCAACTAAGAACTGAATTACATTTGCACAAACTAAAAAATTTATACTTTCCATCCCAACAATGCACGCATTCAGTTTGAGGCTGAAACTGCTGACAGTGCAGCAACAACAAAATGTTAGGGGGAAGCATGGTAGGTATCTTTTTAGCGGTCGCTAATAGGTTGAGTTGCAGTGTGACCTCTGGTTCTCCTGTTCCCCACAAGAGGAAACATTTGTATCCACTATCCAAAACACTTCCTTAATTCATCCTTTTTGCAAGATAAAAGATACTCTACTTAAAAAAAATTCAAAAAAAAATCCCAATCCTTTCCTAGTATGTAAAGCTACATGTTTCTGGTATCATCCTGTCCAATCATCTCTACACCATCTCCAGCCCCTCTATATCCTTTATGAAATTTAATGACCAGAAATCCATGTAATGTTTTAAGTGTGATCTAACTAAAGTTTCATATGATTTTATCATGACATCCTTACTCCTCAAAAGAAGTACTTTTTTAAAAAAAAGCTTACTTTGTGCAACTTTACTTATTTGTGTCTTTATGCACCAAAAGCCTTTGTACTCTAGGTCACCACGACCTGCACGGTTTAGGTATAATAACTTTCATGGTCATCCTGCTAAAATGCGCTAACTCACCTTTATCCACGTTGATCTTTATTTGCGAATTACTTGCCCGTTTTCTGAATTTATTAATGTCTGTCTATCATTTGTTGGCATCCTCCATATCTTCCTGATTGCGACAAAATGTGTCTATTGCCAAGGTGACCAATCCCATTGGTATTGAAATCATGTAATTTCCTTTAAAAGTACAATTTTGTCCCAATCAGGAAGTACTGTCTGTAAACTTTCAGAATGTTAGTAATTTCTTATAGTTCCAAATGTGATAACATTGGAGATAGATCATTGTAGCCTAAATTAACAAAAATGTACTTTTCTCAACCAGGCGACTTTCTACATTGGACAACATTGGTGAAAGAACCATGACTATTATTGAATGGTTAAAGGGTACTTCATGTTAAATTTCTTAAATAAGGCAATCAACAAAAATATTTTTTCTAACTGATTGAGTTATGCTGAACTATTTTCCCTTTAATAAAATATTTAGTTCTGAGGAAGGGTCACTGGACCTGAAACGTTAACTTTGATTTCTCTCCACAGATGCTGCCAGACCTCCTGATCTTTTTGAGCAATTTATGTTTTTGTTTTTGTGTTTGATTTCCAGCATCCACAGTTCTTTCGGTTTTGTATTGAGGGATTATGTACCTCATAAGCTTAATGATCTCCACTATGCCATATGGAGAAGATTTCAGAAAGAGAGCACATTTCTAGCCAAGCAGAAGTATTTTAGTGTAACATTGCTATTTGTTTGCATTATGAGAGTAGTAGATAACCTGTCTAACATGAATAAAATCATTCTGGATTTTGTTTTGTGTTATTAATGGTGCTTTTTCTTTCAAGGTGGTTGGGGTATCTTGGCCTGCTACTTTTTGACGTTCTTATCTGTCTGCTGGTGCTGTTTGGCCTAATCCGAAACTCAAAGGGAATCCTCATTTGGTAAGTGCTTTCCTAAACTTCATTTATAGGATGTAGCTATTTTTGACCAGGCCAACATTTATTGCCCATTTGTTAATGCCTTCGAAAAGATTTTGAGGTGCCATCTTGATTCTCTGCAGTCCATATATAGTGTATGGTCATCCACAATGCTTTTGGTGATGGAGCCCCAGGATTATGAAACACAACAATGAAGAAATGGTGAAGTTTCATGTCTGGATGGAGTGTGACTTGGGGGAAAGGGGGGAAACTTGCAGGTGTTGGTTTTCCCATATATCTGCTCCCATTGCCCTTCTAGATGGGAGAGGTTTATTGATTTGAAGGTGACTTGTGTGATGCTGAGTGTATTCAGTATATTTTTATTGACAGCCAGATTGTTTCCATTTTAAAAATCTACCTTTTGCACATCAGTTGCAGCAGCTCTTTCTAACATAACCTGGATCACATTTGGAAATTATCAGAAGAAAGTGACTAATGTAATCAGGGTAGTTTTCTGGTAGAATAATCAGAAATTGAGCAAATTGTCCAACAGTCATCTTTGTGTAACTGTTAGTGACAGTTGGTGACAGCTAGCGTATCTCTATAGTCTTCTGTGAGCCAATTATTTCCATGCACAACCAGGGATAAAAACATATCCCAGAATCACTCATTATGGAGAATTTTGCTTTCCATTTTTCTTTCTGCAAGACAATTTTCACTCCTACCCCCATCTTTGTTCACAGGATAATAACTTATTGGATCAGATTTTTACTGCCAGGTCGAAAAACCTGAGTCAGAAAATTTCCCAACTTAACAAACCTATCTTGGTTTAAAAGGCCCCAGTACATCTAGCTTTTACCCCAGAGAGGTAGGGATGGAAAGAGTGTGGCTGACAGCAGATCTTGGTTGGACAGTTCCAAGCTGGGATGGTTCGAAGGCACTCCTTGGTTCTTTGGAATTTTGGCTGATCTTCTATTTGTCAAATACAGCTTCCTCATACATGTTTGGTGAAAAATCTTACATTCATGAAATATTTTGAAAGCTTATAGTGATAAACACACTAGTATTCATAAACTACGTAAAAGACCACTAATTTTTAAATAGATTTTCAACGGTCAATCAAACTGGAACTCAGAATCTTCTCCTGAGGTAATTACCTTTATAGCTCAACTGAGCATTCATAATTACAATTAATGCATTTAAGAAAAGTCGATGAAGAGCTCCATAAAAAGCTGAAGTTGAATGTGTCAGAAATAGGGTTGAGACTTGAACAAGATTTATAAGAACTGGACTGAAGAAACTGAAAATTGACTTTCAAGTGGAGGCTGTTTGATACACGTGAATGCATTACCAAAGTGCAGCCAATACCATGACAATCAGTTATTCATATCAGAAATAATTTCAAATAGTTGTAACTGCTTCCTGCTTTTTAATAAAGATCTTAATGAACAGGAAAAATATCTGACATCTGGATTCTCAAGTGTCCTATGGCTTCATTGTGCAGACTGCCGATAACAATTTCCATGTCTGTGTACAAACCGACAGCTATTTAAGCTGCTGCAGTGCACTGGATTATTTTTGATGATGTACTTCTAGTTATTACAATCAATTATTTGACCTAAGCTATCAGTCTGAAGGAAATATTAGCAATTTGTTAGAGTATTATTGTCTTACTTTGGCATTTTGATGAGGGTTTTAAGAGGTTAATAGACAACACTGAGATAACAGGTGTAGAGCTGGATGAACACAGCAGGCCAAGCAGCATCAGAGGAGCAGGAAGGCTGACGTTTCGGGCCTAGACCCTTCTTCAG